TCGCGTCGCGACATCGTAATTTATCGCACTTGAAATAACATCGCTATGAATTTCATCGTGTTATGCCAGGCATCTAGAAAACTCGAGCTGCTCGCTTTACGACGTTTTCATTGTGGTTCCATAAAGCTGCGTCCGCTCACAGCTGATGATGATTCTGACGATTGTCAGCGTTCTATCCTCGACGGTCGTTATCGTAGCTGTCGTCACATGACAGTAAAGCACAATTCAGCCGCAGTTGTATTCGAATACGGCATACCGATGCTTCGCAGATGCCTCGATCCGTAACGACGTAAACATTTGCGTGTATCGAGCGAATGCGCGTCGCAGAAAATCGCGGCTGCACCTTTGGCTGGAATTGCACCGCGCGAAAATATACCGAGGCAAATGTAAATCGGCAACCGGGCTTCTGTTTCATGAGGCGACCTTGTTTGCATGTTGACTTGCATCCTTGGCACTCTTATCGCAAATTTGCGATAAGCCAAGAGTTTCATAATCTCTATGCGGATTTAGCGGATTTAGCGGTTTGAAATTTCCTTAGGTTACAGGCAATGGAATTAAATTTATATAACTCTTTACACAGTTTATTTGCTGCAAAATGTATTTGTCGAATTCTAATTTTTAGATATTTGAATGAAATAAGAGATAAAAGTTTTGGATAAAGATCTAATTTTCTTTTAATAAATTCATGAGAATGTATATCTTGATGCCATATAAAAAAGTTCATTTTTAATGTTAAATAGACGATAAGAATATTTGTGTTCTACTAACCAAGATATTTTAAAAATAGCAAAAAGCACACACGATTTCGAGTGTGCTATTTTCATGAACGTTTATTAATTAATATGACATGATACATGTGAATAAATGTAAATATAAAATATTATAAATGCAAGATAACTATGTTACAATATTAAAGTTGCTTATATTTTATTTAATATGTGACATTTTATTTTTTTTAAATATGTTACAAAAAATATAACATGTGAATTATTAATTTTATACATGAAAAGTAACCCATGCATTTGCAAAAGTAATCTAAAGGTTGAAAAGAATAATTTTTTTTGCAAGGGAAAAGGATTAGTTCTCGTATGTCCATATTTTTATCGATTGAAATCTTCCGATCCTTTAGTTGTTGCAACGCGTGTTTTTACCCCTTTTTTAACAAAAATAGAACCGATGGAAACACATACTGGGCCCTTTTAATCTCTAATCAGCCGATTAACGGTAACTATCGATATTGTTCACAAAAATATACATCAGCGTTCGAAAAATCTTACAAGAGAACATATAATACATTTTAACTCGTTATATCCTCATAATGATTACGCACGGCAATTCGAGACGCGGACATTGAATTAGCGCCTATTGCCGTCTGTCGCAATTTCCGCAATTGCATAGTGCAAGTTGCGAAAGTTACAAAATTAGCACGATCGATACGCTACCGCTCGGACGCCGTTAATCCTCGTTTGCGGCCGGAAAAGAGTTCATCGAAAGTTTATTCACGGTGTAATATCGCATAAAACCACAGAAATTCCAATATTATTCTATTACATCGAAACTAGTGACATTGTGTTCAAAAATATGTTTAATGTTTAGTTTATGTTTTAATTAAATACTGTACGTTATGCATTTATTTCTTGGAAAATAAAATTTTATTTATTAATTTATTTGTAATTTTTTATTGTTATATATGTGCAGACGATAATAGATCGCTTAACAATTTATCGCACAGTAGTAAATTTTCAAGTTAAAAATTTTAATCCTGTTATAATGTATAAATTTGATATTTTTTTAAACAAAATCTTTTAATATTATATGTTGATTGAAAAGAAAAGAGATATTTGGCTCTTAAGATCCAAAATCTACATAGTGAAATAATTGTTTATTTGAAATTTTAGAGAAATCTCTTATACTTTCTTTTATTTTGAAGAGAATTTGAAATCAATATTATCTATATACATATAAGATAATTATAACAATATAATATTTTATTAAAAGAAATAGTAGAAAAGTGTTAAGATTCGGATTTAAAAAATCTAAGTATATTATAAATTGAAAGGTGCAAATTTATAGCACAAAATCTTCTTATTAAAATGAAGTTTCTACATACTTTGAATTAATTTAATTATAAACTTAAATTAATTATAAACTTGAATTAATTTAATTATAAACTTCAGCAATATTTTATTATAATGTATGTATAAATTAAGGTGTGTGACACACACACACACACACACACACACACACACACACACACACACACACACACACGATAAAGAGATTTACAACAATATGTTAAAATATAGTAAAAAAGATAATATCTGGTTGAACTTTTGCTACAAAAAAATGTACATAATAAAATGCTTCGATAGTAGACTTTTTATAATTTTAGAATTAATGAATTAGCAAATATTTTACAAGGAAGATTAAGATAAAAAAGATGGCATTTAAAGATATGATCATATCAATATGCTTTTTATAATTTTAAAATATTAAGAAAAAAATCATATAAGAATTAAGCAACACTGGTTAAGGAAATTATTTGCGTTCACTGGTTGCGCACAGATTTCTTGCTGCATAAAATAACACTATGATTGTTGCAGGTCAACCGTAAGAAAAAAGTAAAGTTAATCATGTAGTTGTATGCAGCGTCAATAAGGTTGCATAAGGTCGTTTATTTATAAAGACGCTTAGAAAAATACAGGGCGAAAAGAGCTATGTTTATTTATAGTTCCTCGTTTGTCCAGGATTATAAATAAATGATTTAAAGTATTTCAACTGCTAGTAATATTGCTCGCTATAACTTAAAATTTACGAGCTCCGTAACCTTTTATTTTGCATTTTGTTCTCATGATTCAACTTTACTGTAAATAAAGAAGTAAATGGATGTGAAAGATATATATACACATATACATAGTCTGTTATATTTTTTCGTAAATTATCAGAGAAAGAAATCAAAACTATAAAAAGAATGACTTCTTTATTTTTTATAAATATTTAATCATATATATTACATAATTTACATGTAATAGAAAAATTTAATTTTTATATGAATAATTATAAAGCTTAAACATATATACGTAACGTAAATATATATATATATATATATATATATATATATATATATAATGTGTTATTTATGTTAAAATATTTTATATACATGTATCTATATAAAACTATTAATTTATATAAATATTTTATTATAGATATTTCAAATATTTTATTAAAATTGTAACTAAAATTAATTGTTACTAAATTAATTGTTATTAAAATAAAATTTTATTAAATTAAAACAAAATTTTATTAAAATAAAGTATGAGAAATATTTTTTATATATGCATTATATACACGATTAAATACACATATACATTTATACACAATTAAAAATAGACTATCGTAGAGATAAAGAAGCAATTAATTTTATAAGCAATGAATAATACAATAAGTTATAAATTGCTTATGCTATAATAGCTCCACCGATGTCTGATACCTTCTCAGACCTCTTCTTCTCTTCTCTTGTTCGCTTTTGTTGTGATTTTTTATTCACTTATTCACTCATGATTAATTACGATTACACGCGCGATTACTGTATTCTAAAGATTGTACTATACTTTATATGACACTCCCACTAATCATATAAAACTTTATTATATTGCAACCAAAGAAAACTGTGTACAATATAGAAGTTACGATTTAAAAATTTCGCGACCAAAACTCGCAATCATTTGCTATATGATTTTTGATTTTAACAAATAATATATGATCTCATTTTATGACGATTACGTATCGTATACATTATGTAAGTGTGAAAATAAATAATTTAAAGTTAAAGTTACATTATCTGCAGAATGTATGTTAGAAATATATCGCATTGATTATTCGATAGTTTTTGATCCAATAAATCACGTAAAATACACGTTTTCATAAATTAAATTTTTAAATATTAAATTTTTCGTAGAGTTTTAATAATAGAGTCTAGTTACTTGATAATTATAATATGTAAGTAATGATTATTGTCTTTCCTCCAGTAATTGTAAATGTAACTTCTCTTTTTAAAGATATTAAACATGCGTTTAAATAAAGTAGACAATAAAATGAAACACATATTATATAAATAAAAATAATCATGTGTATTTATTGAAAAGAATTTATAATTTATGTATATAATTTTCAGACACTTATTTATCTATTCATAAATTACAAAATGCAGGATAAAAAGTTTTGTGGCTTAGGGGAGATGAAATTACTGAAAGAAAGATATTGCTTTCCGTTGAAAGCAAATCTTCTTGAGAAGAATTTTTTTCAACGGCAAGAATTTACGTAAAATATTTGTGACGGAAAATTCGGTCATTTGTCAACCGGGAGCTTCCTCACGCGGCGTAAAATGGGGATTTAAAGAGGCACGATGAAGTTCGGACGCCATGTGTCACGTCACCAAGATAAAAGTTTATTCTGGCCTTAGTGGGAATTTATCCGCGGTGCAGAAAGCTACGCGTATACTTAATCCTGAAATAATACAAATATTTATCTCCTGATGCGATGTATCTTATTTATTCCGATCATGTGCGTGCATTTTTACGATAAAATCATTACGCTTATGTTTCGAAGCAAGCATTGAAACAATTATCAGATTCTGTAAGAAATAATAAAAAAAGCAATTAATTAATTACTTAAAAATTAGATCTTCTATTAAAATAACGAAATGTCGATATGTTTTTATTATATATGCTTGCTTGAAAAATTAAATTTTTTAAATAGATTACCGGGAGAAAATTTAAATTTTTAAATTTTGAAGTTATAATATTCTTGATATTTATTGTATTTTTTACCTTAGAATTTTATAAATATTAATTGTAATTATATACAATTAATTATCATATAAGTGTAATGACAGAAAGTTCATTAAATCTTTATTAGTCATTAGCTTTGTTAAATTCAGCAGATAAGGAGTTAAAAGCAGCAGTTAAGTAATACGAATTCTTCTTTTTTTCTTGTTGCAGAAAGCCAGATTGGCACGCATTAGAATTGCGAAGGCGTCGAGCGGCGCCGCCTTCGTGAGCAAAAAGAAGGCAGCGGAGGCGCGTTTGGCCGCTCAGGAGAGCGGGCTGCAGCTGGAGGAGTTCTACAAAGAGGAGGATATCTTTGAGCTGCAGCATCATCACCTACTTCGTTGCTTAGAGAAGACCACGGTAAGTACTTACATCTTTGTCTACTAACAGCTGCATGTCGCGTTTTTGTGTGGGAATTCTAAAGCCCTCTAAGTCCCTGTCAGCTCATTCTAAAGCCTTCAAATCCCCATCAATAAATTAACTTTCCCACGTAAAGGATGCACTTTGTTTTTATAATACGTCACTTGAACGACGATCAGATAATATTCTTTCTTCATAAATTGCATCATATATATATATGTTAAAAGAAGTTAGAAGTTTCCGATCTCTGAATGAAGAAAATCTTTTAGAAAGATGCATAAGTTATTTCACACACTTACACAAATACTGTATGTTCTATTTGAAATATCATTTTTTTAGAATTATAGCAGAATTAAAAAAATTATAATTAAAAACAATAAAAGTAATATTGAAAAATTATATAATAGTTAATTAATATTCTTTAATACTGCGGAAAGAAAAATGACGTTTAATGAAATTAAGAACAATTCATTTCAAAATATGGTAAAGAATTTTGCTATCATTATTTAAGGTTTTTCAAATATCCGCATAAAGCCAAGATAGATTAATCAACGAAATGATAATTAATTATTCATGAAAGGGATGTTCTTTCGCAGTGGACGCGAAGACAAACTCGCACAAAAACGTAGTCTATCTCTAACGTCTGTTATTAATCCCACTGACGCGAAGCGACAAAGCAACTGCATCCTCGCGAATGCATCTGTCGACGCTTCCGCTTCTCGCGCCAGAAATTTAATGGGTATCTCATCTCGAAAATCCGGTAGACTGTTTCGCAAATACTGCACGTGAGTAATTTGAATAAACCTACGCTCGTACTCATCTAATTTTAGCTGAACGGGAGGGTTGTTGATTATGTGAACGAGGGTTGCCGCGTACGGGATGTAGTCGCTATCGAATATTTGGGAACCAATACTCGTTTACGGATTTGCTGCTACATGTATTATCGGATATATTTGGAAGGTCACAAAAAGTTTCAGATTTTTCGTGTAATACAGATCAAGATACAGAATCAAGATATAATAAAAACATGAAACTAGATATAAATACATAATATTAAAAAAGAAGATAAAATATTAATATGAAATAAGACAATATTTTAGTGGACGCGAATTCATATTGGGGAAGAAGATAGAAAAATATAAAATAAGACAGTATTTGAATGATTAATTTTTTTTAAGCAAAATATATAAATAATATAGTTTTAATATATATATATATATATATATATATATATATATATAATTAACTATATAATTAAAATTATAAATCATCAGAATAATAGTTTATTTATGAATCATAAATATGTATATTTAATACTTTATATTTTTTTATATCTTCTTTTATATTCTTATACGTAATAAAATAAGAGATAAACTATAGAACTAGATAACTAGATAACTATAAAAACTATAGAACTATAGAACTATATAACTATATAACTAGATAACTATAAAAATTATAAAAATTATAAAAAACATAATTAAACAAAAAATAGGAGAAATTAGAAGGTAGAAGATTAATATAAAGTATAAATGCATTTTTCAAAGAAATTTGATTCCGTTTTTTGTAAAAAGATTTATAGTTGCGGATAATGGCTTTTTAATGCATCTTACTTATGTTGAACATATTTGTGTACGCGTAGATATGCAAACTACAGTTATTAAATCAACCGTGACGTATACGATGAGTACGTGGAAGAAATTATAAAATACGCACAATTTGTACGATAGCGTAATAGCAGACTGTACAACATTCACGTGGGAGGGAGAAATTAGTTTATTACGCCAGAGAGGATTAAAGCTTTTGAATATGCGTACAGAATATATAAGATGATATATATATGGCTCACAACCTATGGAAGTTGAGTGTAGGTTGATTCGCCAAATTCGATACAGTTTGATATTCCAAAAAAAAGGGACGTGAGCATACTTTTAGATAATTTAGATATACACATATGTGCAGTAAGATCTTTAATTAATTAATTTCTTGTAATAAGTTCTTGAATTCATTTTTTGAAAATTTTTATTTATTTGTATAATATTCTTGCGCGCTTTTAAACTTTGCAAAATTGAAAAGAACAAACTTATAAAATTATAATATTTAAGAAGAAAAAAAAAAAATATATATATATATATATATATATATATATAATATATATAAAAGAGATGTGTATTTGTAACAGAAGTACAAAATATGAAACTTATTCTGTTTAACTCAATTTTAAAAGTTTAGAATTAAAAATTTTATAAAAGTTTCAGAAATTACCTGATTGCACAGAGAAATCTGTGTATCTCTCTCTCTCTCTCCATTCTATTCTATTTTATTTTCATTGCAAATTATATATATATATATATATATATATATATATATGTATAATTTCTAATTTTAATTATTTTTATAATTTCTATTTTGTATTTCTGTTTTTACATGTTTACATTTATCAATTATGTCGATACTAGAAGTTAGTTACATTTATGATAAAGGAAATGATATTAAATAAAGATTATTATAAATTTAAAAAATTGCATAATTTGGTATATTACAATTTTTTCATAAAAAATATGTTTCTAAAATAATCAAGATAATGGAATTAAGGGAAAGGATTACTCCCAGTACACTGGCTATTCATCTTTTATAAACTGAATGTCAATAGGACAATCGTACTAGCTTGTATATTTGCCCTATATACCGCAAACGATGTGCCATATATCTGTAGATAGATAATTTTAGTCTGCTTTTAGGTTGCTTTTGTTCCCTTGGGAATTTCGCTTGTATCTTATACATTAGGTAAAAGGACAAATTTTGGTTATATGTAGTCGTGTCATTTGCGTAATATTATGGGGCAATTTATATTTTGCACAAACAATATATTGTAATAAACAATAAGTTAATTTAAATTTGACGAAAGCTCTTTATATTACATGATATTTTAGTGTTATATGATTAATTTTCAATATTAAATTTTTTATTAGTGCATTTTTTTTATAACTTATGATATTATATGATTTTGACACGTGTAATTTTTTGCTGTCTTGGAAATTATATAGAAGATGCTTTAATATTAATAATATAATATATTACCTACAATTTATTTTTTATATAAAATTGATTAAGAGAAAAATGTGTTTTATTTGCTAGTTTTAACGAATTATAAACAAAATGATGAATAAAAAAGATATTATTTTTACAATATTCAAGAGTAACATACTCAAATAATTAATTTTAAATTTAATTTGATAATCAAAAGTAATTGTGGATATTTAGCTATTGACATACGGTAAAATGTTTATACTTAATCTGACGATTTTTACAGATAAATTATCGTTATATAGCTAATTTTAAATTCAACATTTCTGATATTGCGATGATAATGTCATTTGATGGGTATTTCTTATATTAGAAACGATGACGTCGCCGAGCTACGGGTTAGGTTTTCGATCGATTCGTTATTCACGTCATCCATCCACGAAATTGGCGAATCTTTAACTCGAACTTCGAATTTATACTTCGCAAATCCTGTAGAATGTTTCCTGAGAATGCTTTGTGCGATGTTCGACACGGAGATGTTTCTCAAGAAAACCAACGATTTTTGCTTAGCAAAGAACAACGTAACGAACTTGCTGAATGCAAAGTGAAACACGAACTGTACTCTCGGATGCGGACATGAATTGGTCTAGGTACTTGTTTAATAAATCGAATACGTGTTGTCGAGAAGCATAACAAATCAATGCATCTTCTTTATTCTATTAATTTGTAATGTTAACATTTTTTTCTTACTTCTAAAATATGTATCGATTGTTTGAGCCAAATGCAAAATACAAAATATCCCAGAAAAGGCACAAAAATATTTATTAAACCTTCTTTGAATAAATGTCGAAATAATTGAAAATAATTTTCCTTAAAGTTTGTAAAATAGAAAGATTTAATTTTTATTGAATTTTAAACATTTAAAAAAATGAGAAATGAAAATTAGTTTAATATTCTTTTGTTGTATAAGATTTTGATAAAATGTAAAACATGGTAATGTGTCGATACAGTGTCGATATATCGATAAATTGAAAAATAAGTAATGCCAAAATTTTCGATATTGGAATTCTTTGTAATGGATGAGATTTAAACAGAGACTTAAGAGTTATTTTAAATCGAAGTTTATAAAATATAAATTTACTATGTAATTATGTACTGTAAAATGTCATTTTACAATAAATAATTATTTTTCTCGGATGCAAATAAATAATAAATTACTCTTATTTAATTTAGAAATCTATATTTTAACAAAAAATAGATTGAGGGAATGATTATATAATATAAAGAAATTTATGAAAGATTAAAATATTTTTAGTTTATATATCATCTGTAATACGCAATATATTATGTACATATTTTACTCAAAATGGAATCTAGCATATCGCATAAAACAAAATTGAATAGTTATTTAACAAGATTTCCTTATAACAAAATAAAAATTATATCTGTTAAATATTTTTTGTCAGAAGAAGAAGAGAAAAGGAAGATAGATTTTCAATAAAAGAACACATTTCGCATGATATGTCATAAAAACGTTCGCTCAGAATTGGATATTCTCACCTAGACTCGTCACATACAGATGCATGTGCTACCAAAGTGCATATTAGATGCACCTCTTTACGTCATAGCTCTAACATTTCTACAAACGCAAAGATATTTCGAGAATCCGACAAGAGATAGAGTGGTTCTCTCTTCTTCATGTGGATATTCTGGCGGAATCCTTGTGCCTTCATGCGAATTTGCATTGTTACACGTGAAGGGAACGCACCAAGGTTGCACTAAGGCGATGAAATAACGGGTAATCAACATTTCAATTTACGAATTATGCACTACCTTTGTGAACAAGTGTATGCAATAATTAATGATTTATGCTTTGCGATTTAACGTTATCGGATAATTCCTAATAAATCCAGCTACTAGATGGGCTCTATATATTATGGAAAGAGAGGAATTTCAGGATTTTATTAGATATA